AGGTAATAATAATGGTTGTTCTATGCCATAAACGTCGCCAGTTATTAATTGTTCACTTAGATACGCTAAAATTAAACCGTATCACAAAATTTCATTGTTTGTATCTAAATAATGATATGTTCTTTTTGAAGTTTATCAAAATAGATATTTTAGGTGAATAAAGATTAACTTTTTAAATTCGAAACAGTAGTGTTTTGCATTTATTGATAAATATTAACCTGACCGATAAGTTCATATTATATCCTAAAAGTAGTTAATATAATAATGAGCTTGGAGTATGTAGAAATATGTGGACCTAATTATCAACTATAGTTCATCTAGAATAGTATAAGTGGCTTTACTATTGCTTAGGAGCTAACTCAGTAAACCAGGATAGCAAATATGAAGCATATATATATATATATATATATATATATATATATATATATATATATATATATATATAAATGTGAAGCATATAACTACTTTGCAATGACAATGACTACGTAGCTGAGGAATGAACACTCCTTTTGGTATTTCGTACTGTAAACTGAACAGTTTATTCACAATGCGAAAGCTATCTTTTCTTGATATTTTTGTTACCTTCGTTTATTCCTGCTTTGTTAGAATAACCTCCGACCTCGAATGTATGTGTCCTTGTTCTAAATGGTTGTTTGGTTTTTTGTTAACATGTATATAACCGGATGAATTTCAAGTCACACTTCTAGAAAATTTTCAACATTCATAGATTTGCCTTGTTTTAAAGGTTTGACTTTATTCAGGTGGAATATTTATCCTTAGCTGTCTTTGTACATTCTTACGCTGTCATTCGTCTGTAAAAACTGTGCTTCTTTATGTACAAACTACGTACGATGCATTGTCTCTTGAGAAATTATTCGTCACTAACAGAATTCAATCCTGTTTTCAAAAAAAAAATAAAATGAACTTTTCAATGTGAACATCAAAATTTTTATTACTGGGATTTTAAAATAGTACACATTTTGACCGAGGTCAGCGGATTTGAATGAAGTGTGAAGTTTGTTTTTCGCACTTCATACTAATAGGATTATTAAAAACAAGAGTAGTATTTTATTTAATCGACTCATTATATACGAAGGAAATCATGAACAGTAGTAGTGATCAAGTGATCTCAAGTAATCTCAAGATGGAGGTTATTAGTAAAGAGTATTCAGTGGAGGGCAGTTTCTGTTCTACAAAATCATTTACTTGTGCTGTATATTCATATATAAAACAATATCGGAACTAATAATATTATTGTCATTAAGTTCTCATCAGTTTCTACATCATGTTATATAAATTCAGTAAGTTTTATAAAAGAAGGGTGAGTGCTGTGCAAATTGATCATGTTTTCGGAAGATGAATAGGAATGTTAAACAAATAACAATAGTCTAAATAATACAAATACGTGTGAATCAAGATAACAATGTGACCGAGAAAGGTTGTATGCACGTTAGTCAAGTCGGGTCATTTTACAGTAAAGCTGGCCATAGGTTAATTGGACTTGGGGTTTGCCACGTTAAGAGAAGGGGTTGAGAACATTTTTTGCACACATAGTTGCATGTTTTTAATTCGCTCTTGCTTCTGCGATTTAAAGAATTTTGAGTCAGACTGACATTGGTTAGAAAATTATCGATAAAGATTTATTTTTACCATCTCTATGACCTATTTGCACTAAATGGCTTGATAATGCGCTGTAATCAACTTTCATGAGGACAAAAATGTGAATTTCTAGAACTTCAACCAATCGAACTTGCTCCAAAGAGCAGTCGATAAATACAAAATCATTCACCTTTATCCTCAGTGTCACCAAACATTTTGCAGTTTCCGGTCTTGAATGTTGTTTTGACTGCTCTACGAAGTCTCTGGATTAATCTCGTAACGGATGAATCGTCGCTAAATTTTAGGCACATGAACACGGATCTCTCATTCAGTGTGATGGTGTTACCTTGTGGAGCTTTCAGTGTTCTTCCGCACAACATCAGCACAAACTTCATATAGAAGTGAAGTATTCGAATTTCTGCAAGTTCGACCCGTAGTTTGTTCTGTTAACCTCGATCTTCATTCGTTGCCGTTGACCTGTCGTTGTTTTCACCTTTGTTTTGATTGTATCCCCCTTCTTATCTGTTTCTTGATCCTCTGTCGCCTATGATTTTTCTGATTGGTTGATATATTGGGTCACTGTCGATGTGTTTGTTGATTGCTGATTGACCTGAGTGCCAAGCTTCTGAACATTTTAGAGTGTACTTTGTGCTCCCCCTATTCAGTATTTCCACACTGTTCCAATCGAACTTATGTCTGTAGTTGTCCTTATGTATTGATATAAGGAAAGAAATGTCATGGAGTTTGATTGGAGTTCACATAAAGGAAGCTGAAGAGGCCGTCCACTTTGTCCTATGTAGTGTTTTTCATGATCTGAGCAATTTATTTTGCAGATGATATTTGGTTTTTGCTTTGTCATTTTGTCCTTCGGTCTACATAGGATTGATTAAAGTCATTCTGTTGGTTTTAGTGCCACACCTATTCCAAGTGGTCACGGTAGTTGTGCTGTAAACTCCTGTATGTCTTTTATGATAGGATGATCGGTTTGTTAGTTCCTTCACCTAATTTCTCTTCTGTTGGTCTCAGTTGATATTTTTTGATGAAGTTGCGTGGATAGCCGTTGTTTTGGAAGGTGGTCATTAGATATTTTTTAAATATACTGATAGAACATATAGTACGTATTCATTAGCCAGGAGTTTTTACCAGGTTTCTTGCATACTGTAGGAGTATAAAGCTGAGGAAATGTGTGTACTACCCTGTCCAGGTACCTTTCTTGTTGAATTTATTTCTGATTGATCCATCCTCCCTTTTTGGTAAACGAATGTCAAGAAAGGCTATTCTACCTTCACTTTCTTCGGATGTAAGCTTAGTAATTGAATGTACTTCATCAAATTGCCTACTAACTTAACAGAGGATAAACATACTATTCATGTGTCGACAATAAAACGAGGATTTTTGAATAATCTGTTCAAGTCAACGATACTCTGATTTAGTGGAAAAAGTGTTATCTAGTGTGCGATCAAATAGTGAACCCATTACAACTTCATCCACATTCCTGTGCACATTTCAGTAATAATTCTTTTATGGAATCAACTGGAATTGTAGTTGCCATCATACTTTGTTCCATGATATTTGCATCTCTGATTATGTCATCACACTGGAATACATTCGTATTTATAGCTTTTTGATAAATATATAAGTTGATAGGAAGACAAGAGGGATTACATCATACAATGTTTTGGTACTCTAATTATCAAAAGGAAGTTACGCAATCATTCGGGGGTTGGAAGAGTAGGGGAATGAGAACAATTTAAAGGTCAGAGATATTGTGGTTGTGTTTCGTTCTCTGAGCTGGATGTTTTGGTTGTGGAGCTTTCATTGTTAAGGGACAACAGCAACCAATCAAGATCGAGGTTAGCAGAACAAGCTACGGGTCAAACATGGAGAATTTTGAATACTTCACTTCTATCTGAAGTTTGTGCTGAGGATGTTGTTGACAGTTGACCGTTAACAATGAAAGCTCCACAACCAAAACATCCAACCCAGATAACGAAACACTACCACAATCATCTATCTGAGCTACGAATTTTCTCCACCTTTTTAAGTCAGAGACAGATATGAGGCAAAGGAAGAACGCTAAGGTCACAATAATATTTTTAAAAAATTGATAGAAGATATTATCTCTTTTAACTTTCTATAGACTTGCATATCTATCAAACATATTCAAAATAATTTAACTGAAAACAATATTGTCCGCTTATATATGTTTTGATAATATTCACAATGTGAATCGATAATGTTTTAAACAACTGTAAAAACGAATTTACAGCTTAAGTAAACGATTTCGTTGAAAATAAAATTTTGCTAAAATCCTCTTTATTTTTATTTAAAGATACATTTGCTACTTTCATTATCACTAGTAAAGGGTTTCATGACTTCGTGATGACAACTATAACTACGCAGTTTTCCACTTATGCTAAAAAAGATTATACGTAGTACTAACAGAGGGTATGCAGCTGAAAAGTAGGTATACTCTCTACCTTCACGGTTTTACTCAGTACGTTTTCACTGTATTGCGTTGCTCCCCATCCTACCCGCTTAAGCTAATAATGCTACCTTGATATCGCTTGTAAATTCTTTTTTCTTTATAGTCATGTTTCGTATTTATAATCTTAGATATAAATAAGAGTTCAAGATGATTTTATAACTCAAGACCCAGTTGTTCAATCACTAATCATTCAATAATGTACGTAAGAATCTGACATGGTTTGTAACTACATCACTGACTATTCAAAGGTATTCTTGAGCAAAACAATGAAATACATTATCCATTCACATTTTCTGAGTATAGCCAATGTCGAAGATATGCATCAATGATTTAGCAAACAAAAGTCATATGAAATTTTACAAAACAAGGTAGTACAGTAGAAAGTCACTAAGTATTGTTATCATTTGAAATTTGAAGCAATGCGTTAAGTACCTTGATTGTAAGCCAAGCTTATAATACTTGTATATTCCTATCATTAATATAGGTTTTATTTGAACATCATTCTATGATGGGTTTCAGTTAGCTTCCGACACAAATCTTACCTAGTTACTGCATCTGCATTTTTAAATTAAGTAATGAAACACCTTTTCAAATAGCCTCCACTGTCCTGATGGCATATAAATCTGTCTACTAGTGAGGAATGAAAGTTCACGATAAAGCCTAATCTTGCTCAACCAGTTTGAGATATTCGTTTCATTTTTTGTGTGACAAATAATGTGCTTAAAAAAAACTTTTTAAAGAAAATGTTGAATTTTTATTTCACAGACTAAGAAAGAGATTAGTGTGAGATGTATTAACCACAATCATATATTTTTTAGATACTACCTACTACCGACCAAAATATTCATGCAAATTTGTGAATAAATGAGTCCTTAGAAGAAAGGAAAAACTGTGACGCTAATCATCATTTAATATGTCTACAAATATGAATTCAGTTGAAGAATGGACGCGTTTCGGATCGAACAACACACAAATCGATTATAATAATGAGTTGCCTTTAAATATAAACCATGTCATGAGACAATTGTCACGAAAAATGTGTAAACAGTACCTCCTTCTAGATGACTGTAATGAAATGAAATCTGTAAAAGAACTAGGCGAGTCACTGAATATTGTCAGTTCGCGATCAAATACAGTTTTGTATGCAAAATTTAAAAGTGACAACCAATCAGGAAATCATGATAAATTGAAACAGTCTCATACAAAGAATGGTTATAAAGTCCTTGACGTGAGTTGTATGACAGTTGAGTTTATTAACTACGATTCTTCTTAACCTATGTTTAATTCATTCTGTAAAATATAAAATCATTGTATAATTGAATATTACAAGAAAGCTAGCTAATGACCTAATAGCATCATTCAGAACATTACGTGAAAATGGCTCTAGGTTTACAAATGCTCTGAACAAATGAAGGATGTCATTGTTGAATGCAGTCAACAATAAGTATATCAAAATAACTTATTATTCAATTTATATGAAAGAAAAATTGTCTCACTCTCTTCTCAATATCCAAAAGCATCGGATTTCAGTTACTTTAAAAATATACGAGCTGTTTACATATCACCACAAATGTTTGAATGATGATCGAAATTATCATGTTCGCCTTATGTTCAGCAATGAATCACTAAAATAGTCAGTTTTAAGCTTGTACATTTTACTGGATCATATACGAGTCCCTCATATGACTAACATTTTTATTGATCAGTTTCACAATTTAACTGTATTGATAATTATCATAATTATACTGTTTTCTAGTGATGTAAATTATTCGCTTCGTAGCACAGATGTATATGAGGGAAATACTGACTGACTCTTCATTGAATTAATTATCTAACCGCATTAACAAAGTGTACTTTTAATCCTCATAAAGTGTCTACCTACAGAACTACTCAAAACGTTTAAATCCAAAAGATGTAGTTAATATCTTTTATCAACCCAAACATTTATATCGTTCAGAATTAAAATTCATTACAATGTAAAACCTCTTGAACTAACTATAATAACGAGATTATTTAGTTGATGATAAGCGTTTTCTTAAGTATCATACGTTTTACACCCTGAACTTTCGTGTCAGTTTATGAGATTTCAAGAAGGATTAAAATATCTCCATTCTTTCTGGTTAATCAGTGATTGTGTTTAAGAGCATTGAGTTTTTTTGAGTTGTGGTTGTGTGGCATGTACAATCTATTATGCTCGTCAATTGATATTCTTGAAACGATTACGAGTTCACCTTACTCGGTAAACGATAGGCTACTCTAATCCGAGCGTCCCAAGGCCACACTAAGTAGAGGAAGAAGTCTTGACAAGTAGTAGCAAGTGTATTCTACAAGCACAGAAATCGAGTTTATTTATGCATGATAGAAACATCCTCAGGAGAGCCACAAAAATAGTATACTAAAATAATACATCAACCAATAACAGTCATGGATTTTCCGAGTGGGAAATGCAATCTCAAGGTCAACTGATCAGCCAGCGCGCGAAAACATGAAACCCAAAATTAGGACCTTGATCAAGCGAGTTCTGGGGATCTAACGTCCTCAACACAATCAATTTTTGTTAGATGATTATTGTTAAGGTTTGAAACCAGTTAGTTTAGTTTTGACATCATGTTATTATGCTAAGAACAGTTCTTCGGAATAAGCGACTGATATTCAATAAATAAGGCTCAGGAAAACTAGAACCTGTATATCATTTGTAAATCAACTTCATTGTGTCATCTTTACTGTTTGCATCATTTATTCGACTTCTTAGTCTTCTTGCATACTTTCTAACCCAGTTATAAATATAATTTATCAACTTTGAATTAAAATACAGTAAATCATATTTTTTTTGTCTAATTCATTACTTAGTCAATAAAGGTTTTAAGCAGTTGATTTGAACAGGATCAAATATATTTGTTGTATGCGGATTGTTGTTTCTACTCTCTTGTTTATTTAGGATAAACGATATCTTGAATATTGAACAGGAACAGTATTATTTAAAATCTAATTTTCAGCAATTTGGATGACATAACTATTCAGAAGTATGCAATTCAAAAATGAAGAGGTAGATGTACTCGAGAATATTGATGTTGATCTTCCTAATTTCAGAGCCGACTGAATACATTTGGAAGATTTTTAATGTTTTCATTTCGAACAAGGAAGTTATAAGCTTGAAATCAGTGCTTTAGTTTTACGAATGTTACGCTAGTGACACATCTGTCAGATGCTTTATTCGTTTATTGATCTTCTTTTAGTCCACATACGGATAAGCTCGAAAGATAAAATTAACAAATTATACTGACAGACAACCTAATACAACATGGTTTTGTGAGATTATTTTAAGGATTAACTACATCAAATACTCATATTATCATTTTAAGTGTTTCCCATTTTTTCTTTTAAGTGGGACTAAAGTTTTCAAAGGATATTTTTATCATACGAATGGCAATCGAATTGAAGTTAGAGGATTTTACCTGAGCATAATTCTGAAATGAAAATAAGTTTGTGATTTGATTTTAACAAATTTACACAAAGAAAATCACAATAACTTAAGCGTTCATCTAAAATTTTCATACTTAATGATAGGATTTCGGGAGATATCAATATAAGGATTTTGGATATGGTATAAGTGAGATAAATGGTGAAAATTTGGAGTACATTCTCAATGATAGACACAGAAAATCACCAGACAACCAAGTTTATGGTTAGTTTAATTCTTTTTTCTGTCTCTTTATTAAAAATATTGTGAAATTTTTTAATGTTATTGTTAACTGAAAGACTTAGTAGAAAAATGTCTATCGAAAATATGTGTATATGAATTAACGGTAAACTCAGCTCCGAAAATACCTTGGGCAATTAGAAAACCGCTTTTTGATAAATCTAAAAATTTAAAATAGTCAACCAAGTTGAGATAAGTCCGATCGCGAATTAATCCCTTCAAGCTGGACTAATGATGATATAAATAAGATAGGAATACTGGTGTCAAAATACTATAATTCATATCACTAAGGATATTAAATAAAAATAGATAATATTTTCCTGAATATAAACTGAAACGTTTTGGGACACAAAGAAAAATGTTTGGACATATCTTATGACTTGTATAGAGATATCATTATTGGAAGATAATCGGTAAACCCTCTGTTTACGTAACGGTGATTCAGTTAATTATTACATATAGAAAGGGGTGATATTTTAGGCAGACAAAGTTACTTACTTACTTACGCCTGTTACCCACAATGGAGCATAGGCCGCCCACCAGTTTTCTCCAACCAACTCTGTCCTGGGCTTCCTTTTCCAGTTCCGTCCAATTTTTGTTCATTCTTCTCATATCTTTCTATTTCCTTGGTCCTCCTCTTTTCCTTTGACCTTGTGGGTTCTGTTTGGGAGCTTGTCTTGTGACGCAGTTTGATGCTCTTCGTAGTGTGTGTCTTATCCACTTCCACCGCTTCTTCCTGATCTCCTCCTCCATTGGAATCTAGTTTGTTCAGGCAGACAAAGAGATTAACTAAAATCTGTCCGTAACTGTTTGATTGGAAGTAAAATATCATCGGTTAACTTTGATGCTACTAGCAGAACACCATTGAAACAGTTTAGTTCTCTTGACAATACACGAAAAAAATAATAATAAACTTTGGTACTCTATCAGGTGTGATAACTTTTGTAATGCACTCTGTATTCTCTGTTTTCTTTAAAATTAATAGTGTAAATTAAAAATCATAAACTCATGCGCTATAATTTTTTAAAGACGTACCTTAAAATTAATCATACATTGAGATGTTTATAGAATTAGAGGAAAACAATATTCGCCACTTATGTATATAATGGGAATTTTCTAACTTTTTAGAAAACTAAAGTGTTCCATTGTTTGTATCCACTGAAATAATTTCAAAATACAGAACACCAAGGGTATTTTTTCTGATTATAAGAGTAGGTCATGTTAACACATCCATATTTTATTTTTAATTTATGAAAATAAGAAATCAAGTTTCTGTCGTATTCCTGAATAAGACTATTATCATGAAATTAACAAAAATTTATAAATTCAAACAGGAAATACTTTGATGTTGAACGACTGGACCGGTTTCATTTTTTTTTGTATAAACGCTTAAGAAATAGTATATGAGACACTGTAACATAAATGCAGTTATTTTTGCAATCACGTCATAATGCACAGTTTCAAACCAAAATTGCCATATTTAATGGAAATTCAAGTACCGAAAATAGGGATTCAGTTAAAACGGGATGGAAAGTGACTACTTTGGATCAGAGTGAGAAAAAAACACAGAAAATCAATGTTAGTCACGATTCCTTAGTTAAGCTAAATTCCTTAAAACCTCATTATGCTAAAAAAAGAAAGAACAGCTTATTGGAGCATGAAATATCTAACGATGGATCACATTGAATTAAAAAAAAATAGGACTTCGTCCAAAAAGTTTTTAGATTTGATCAGTTTTCTTGATTGAGGACTTCGTTAAGTTTAAATTAAACTTCTCCACGTTTGATCGATTTCTGTTCAGTGCACAGTGAAGTATGTTTGTAATAACCTTTACAAGCATTAGATATTTAATAAATGTTAACGTTTAAACTTCGTTGAAATTCGCCGACAGCATTTTAAAAAATGCTTTATACTTCACCTATAAAGTGGGTGAGTACTATCCATTTGTAATCCCATATATATATAATGAAACTGATTTCCTGGTGAAAACCAAGCTAAACTGAAGCCTTCAATCCATTAACTTAATGCCGTACATGCATATCATAGTTCTGTTATACAAAAGTGGGATCGTTAGAGTAAGACGAATTAAATCACAAAACTTCATCATATTCGTCACATTGATTTGAAGCTTCACAATGAATCTAGTGTTTATTACATCATACCCATGAGGATAATATGTTCAAAGTTGATGAACAACTTGATAATAATCAGGAGAATGGAAATTAAAAAAAACATGTTGAGAGTCTTGTGAAAACTTGAATCTCTTTATGCCTATTCACAACATGAAGTGGCGTAAACTATGTGTTTATATCTTTCATTTGACAATAAGAAAATCTTGTCAATGGAGTACAGTGTATTGTTTTTGAAAAAAAAAGTAACCATATTTTCCAACCATAAATGCATCATTTGTATGTACAATTGTTGGGGATGTTAGATCCCCAGAACTCGCTTGATGAATATCTTTATTTTGGATTTATTTCATGGACCGATCAGTAGACCTTGAGATTACATTTCGCACCAGAAAAATCCTTGGCTGTGATTGGTTACTGTGTCATTTTAGTGTGCTATTTTGTGACTGTCCCAATGACGTCTCTATGAAGTATAAATAAACGCAATTTGTCTGCTGGCTGGGTGTTTGTAGAATACACTTTCTACACTATATCAAGACTTCTTGCTGATACAGTTTGGTCAAGGGATCACAGTAGCCTACCTGGACACTGGTTCATTGTTTTGTTCTCGTTTATCGACTAAGATGAACTCGTATTAGTTTAAGCATACCTAGATACAAGCGTAACAACAATGTAGAAAGTGAAAATGTTATCTATGAGTAGTTATTTGATGCCATTATTATTGCAATTATTTTCCATAATAATTGATAACTGAATCGATGATGGTAAATGCAGATAAAAATTAATGGAACATTGAAAAAGAAACACTAAACATAAGAAAAAAGATGGTAGGCAAGTCCACTAATCGATTTTTCTTTTCAACATATATATATATATATATATATATATATATATATATATATATATATATATATGATAATATGTCTGATATTATATAAAATAAGAATGATATTATACTTATTTACTTCATTCATTTGTTTACTAATCATCATAATTCAGCCTGTTTCGCTTCTTTCCAAAATGCATTATGATTCTGAAAAACAATTCAGCGTCTCTTTAGCAGCAGCAGCAAAATAAATGTCTTGTTTCCTTTGTGTATGCCAAGTGATTTTTTTATAGTGTAATTGTTTTGTCACTGTTTTCATAAGATTATCTAAAAAACTATTTCGTAGTAATTGAAAATTGAATGCTAGATAAAAGTACCTTATACTCCTAGTTCTCTCTAGATTAGGAATTCGTTGTTACAATAAAAGTTTGTATGCTAGTTGTCTAAGGTTATGTTTTGTTTTAATCGATTTCAAATCTTAATCATTCGATGATATTTCAATTATTTTAGAAAGTCTCATTTTAGTTAATTTGAAATAGTTACCATCGTTTTTCTGCATTTATTTTTTCAGCAGTGTGAACAAATAAACTGTGAGAGTGAAAAGAAAGTTAAGATTAGTACTGGACATTTTGATTTCAAGTTGTTCATAAGTGTTTGTTGAGTAAATATGATTTACATACAAGGCGAGAAATTCGGACTGTCAGTGAATAATCTAATATCTTATCTCAAGTTATTACACTTCGAAAATGTTTGGTCTATGGACAGTAATCCTAACATAAGATACAAATTTTAGATTTATACGAACACTTGAAATGGTGATGATATTTGATATTGATTTTATGAAATTTGTTCAATGTCTAATAAGCTGATAGTTTTTTGTAACTAATTTGTGAAACAGAAACGTCACTGATAGAATATGCGGTTGTCTCGGGTGTAATTAAAAAATAGTATTAAGGAACAGTGTAACGGGTGAATTTTAAAAGAAACGGTTTTAATTGTTGTTTTACCAGAGTTTAATATCGTTAAGCCGGAAGTAGCAATGGCTATTCATTTTTTAATCTTTGAATTGTCCATTTTTACAAGTTTATTCTATTGCTTTTGTTTTCATCTTCTATTCACATTCCTTTCACTTGTCTAATATTTATTGTTCAAATTAGCAAGGTAGTTTTATTTTTTCCATTAATCACTAATTAAAACTGTGTCTGAAATCATGTTGTTGACGCAAGTAATTGAAATCTGTTATTTTTCCGGTAACACCCTAATCTCCTGAAGTTTTATGAATTGCTGGATTTGATTCTTAATATGTGATGAATTGAAATGTCTTATATTCTGTTGAAATGTATCATGTATCACCTGAGTCGATAAACGAGACCGAGACAATGAACCAGCGTCCAGGTAGGCTACCTTGATCCGATGACTAGAAAGTGTATTCTACAAACACCCAACAAGCACGATGAATTCAAGCACACAAATCTCGTTTATTTATACATCATAGAAACGTCCTTGGGACAGTCACAAAAATAGCACACTAAAATGACACCGTAACCAATCACAGCCTGGTGGGAAATGTTGTCTCAAGGTCAACTGATGATTAGCCCATGCTAGAAATCACAAAATCCAAAATTAAAGCATTTATCAAGCGAGTTCTGGGGATCTAACATCCCCAACAATTAGACTGCTGGTTTTGTGGTATGGATCGTTATTGAAAATAAGGAAGATTTAGGCTTGACTCGCGAACTCAGATATTATAAATTTTGAAATAGCACATAAATGAATTTCTTGTAATTAGAGAAAACTTTATATCGATAGTTACTCTTGCAATAAAAAAGTATCCAGTTTTCGGACGAAATAATAATCTTTAATCTTAAGTGATTTTTGGTTCAGTAAATCTAGTAAACTTTTCGATAACCTTTTTACAAATGTCCCGTTTAAAAGTGACTTGAAATTAGTGTTTTTGTTTTTTTCCAAAAATATTATTTTTTTAATTATTTATCGTTTATTTTATGATGAAGACGGTTGTTGTAATCACCTGTTTCAATAGAATATCAAATCAAATTGTTTTTTTGGCATAATCTTAAACTAATAAAAAATGACTTTTGTTATCTGTGACGATGATAAGAAGTGAGGATAATTAAAACTGCTAACTGTTTAACTGCTACATTTCAAAAACACATTGCAGTTTCAGTACAAATTTAATCATTTCGAATTTATCATCATGAAATGGTTTATCAATCGTCTCGTCAGTACACAGAACAGTCAGTATTTACTTTAAACATACCTCTAAATTTAGTTTAATATGAAAGCGATGTATTTAAAGTGGAAAGAGATTAGTTTCACTCGAAAGCTGTTACTTGTAAACACTTCTTTGCACCAAAGCTTATAAATGCAAAGCACTCTTTCTTAAAAGCATAAAAATCATTCTCCGCAACAAAATATTTCTTACGCTCCAAAAATGATTGATACTTTAGACGGAGAAATAGGTTTGCATCATCTGTAAGTTGAAATCTACTTTTTAAGACAGTTCGCCGTCACGGATGCATTTCTGCTTACATCTCTGACCTTAATATCCAATTTCTTATCAACATTTTATGTATTTCTTTAATTCTTTTATAGGATCTAATCTACTGTATAACTAAATTTCATTTCACATTTTATCCACCTCTTTCTTTTCTGAAAAAAAATATTTCGTTTACTGTTCACAGAGATTTTTAAGCATATTTATCTGACTTGCGATCATTTAACAGACATTGATTTTGTTATTACTCTAAATATATATATATATATATATATATATATATATATATTTATATTTCAATTTCAGACAATATTTTTCCAAAAAACAAATTAACCTATCGGCGAAATGGTAAAAAATTTGCCAGTACTCAAGTTGTAGACCAGCGCAAATATTGTAAAACTCCGAAATCATATTCGTCAAGTACTTGTTCATGTTCGTCCAACTGTGGAAAAAAATTTAATGGGTAAGAATTACTTATCATGACAGGTAGTCTGTGCTCATTGTAAAAATAGTATGAGACTTATGGAAAATGTATTATTTTCAGTATACAATGAAGATTATGATATTTACGCATTTATATTGCTTCAGGGCATAATATTTTAACTTTAACATACATGGAAAACAAACTGGTAAGGAAGTATGTGAATCATTTTAGTTGAATTTGAATTTTGAATCTTTAATCAGGCATGTTTTGTTATAATGTATGCTCAACAAACAATCAAACAAACAATCACAGCAAGACATAAAGTGGCTGAAGAATTTTAGAGAAATAAGCACAGTAAATTGTTCTTGGTTCAATAAACATCCTCGTTTACTTTTGTTGAGTACATTTAAACACAATGGAAGATCCTATCACCAAAGATAGGTTGTAAAGGTATGTGTAAAAGTTGAAAAACAAAATTAGCCTAGAAAATTACAAATATCAAATCAATCAGCCAGTCATTATAACTAGCAATAGACATTTACGGTGATACACTGCCGTTCACTGGACAAATCAGAAGTTCTTCCATTGTTGTTGGAGTTTAGATTTCTTTTTTAGACTTGTAACTGATTTTTCGTGTTGAATTATCTTCCTTTTTTGTGCAGACTTGTAACTAAAACTTTTTTTTCAATTTTTTGTTGACTTAGCGCTCTAACAACACGTCATCCGGAAATAGACTTAAACAAATTGGTAAGATGATTAATTTAAAATGAAGTAAATTCTAAAGACAGATCAAAATTTATAAGAACTGGTTTGTTTTCTCCCACAATACGTTGTTGCTGATAGTGTCTGGCCAACGAATCCGTAGTATTTTGCGTAGACAGCTGTTAATAAACACTTGTATCTTCTGGATGATGGCTTTGGTAGTTCTCCATGTTTCCGCTCCATGTAGTAGAACTGTCTTAAAATTTGTATTGAAAATCCTGAATTTGGTTTTGATTGAAAGTTGTTTGGAGTTTCAGATATTTTTCAACTGCAGAAATGCAGCCAATACATTTAAGTTTTATGCCTAATCTATTTTGGTTGCATAGTTAGCTGAACTTGTAGCAGAAAGTTATTAATCTGCCTTATCTGTAAATCAGGTAATTTAATGGCGGACTGTAATGACCACAAGATAAAAGAGAAATATGTCATGTTCCTGTGATGATGCAAAACTGTCCTTCTAAGGAAATCGCTATTATCACACACAGATTTTTTGCAATTTATTTGCTTTGCGTAAGTAGTCATCAAATGAAAAATGAAACGTATATCTTATACACAACGCATTCAAAGCAAATGAAATTGTTATAATTAGATTAGAAAAAAAAGGAACTACATTTCCACGAAAAATTAATTTACGCAGAAATTAGTTTAAACCAATTAATTCTAATTCCTTTACATTAATATTTATTCACTGAGATAAAAGTTCAAAGGAAAACCTAATTTTTCTTTTCTCTTTATTATCCAACTTAAAATGTGTTAGGAGATCATGTTCAGCTAAACAATTTTTATTCATGATTGAAGTTAGAAAAAAAAATAATATAATAATATCTAAGTGAATATGATGGTTTTGAACAATTATTTCTGAGATGATTGTGGTGACCTATATATCATATTTATCACAGTGACAATTAACTTTTTGGTTAGAACAAGTAATAATTAACGTAAACCATAATTAACAGTGGACATAATTTGTCAGCTTTTTTTCTTCAGTGTTTCAGTGAAAATCAATGTAAACCCAATCCCTGTTAAATTTGAAATGATTTTTAAAATTCTGCAATACAATTCCTAGATCACATAGCCAAGTTCAATAATTGAGAAGGACAGATATAAATCTTACCAAAATGAAGATAGATTTACATTCGTTAACGAATTGAACGCATACATCAAACAGTTTATTGAACAAACTAATCACAAGCTTAGTACATGTAGTAGTTGATTCACTTAAGACTGATGAGTCCCATACCAGGACGAAACGGCCGCCAAATGCTTCTAGGTTTCTGTAAATAAAACCTGAAATTTATCAAGCAAATGCTGAATATTGTTTCACTTAGGCTTTGAATAGATGACAAGTAAACTTGAATTATAAGCATCTTTATTGACCAGTTTCATGCAGATTGTTAAGGTGAAAAGCCAAAGAAAAAACCATTGAGTTTATACCATCGAGCTAGTTACCACTATCATATCTGTTTATTGAAATTTTATTGCAATATTTCTCAAAAGTATGAACTGAAATCGCCAAACAGTATGCTCAAATAGTTTGTCGCTTGTTGGTCAACAGTAATTTGAAAGCTTGATTTGATAAACTTGTTATCAGCTTTAAAATTAGAAAATACGGACAGCTTTTTCCATTTCAGTATAAGGCTCTTCAAGAACTCGCATCTGCAACCACATTGAGCATTGGGCCAAAGTCTCTCTAGCGTATTGATGACTAACCTTCAGGCCACTGAGTATATATATATGTATATATATATCCGTAAATATATGTATTTATATATGCGTTTTTTAGCACACAAACTGTTATTTATTTGTATAACATTTTTTTGAGTAAGTTTCTTCCACGAACGATTTCTCCATCTGACAGATCCAACAACCAAGAAACGATGATGATCATAATACAAGTATTATCAACAATGTAAAGACCACTGGTTTCTCAAGAAGTACTACACCTTTCAGTTGGATCGAGTTCCCAGTATTGACAAACGTTTTTACTAATCTCTTATCAAATCAAAAAGACTCTGCTTGTGAATCAGATAATGGTTCTTCACTAAATGATGAATTACAGTAAGTGATGTTAATACGTTTCATTAATAGAAACAATCTTTATTAAAAACACTGATTTTTATTAGTTTTTTAAACCGATTGGAAAAAAGTAATGATGATGAAAATAATCTACAATTGTCATCCGTTAAGAACAATGGAGTCATAGAGACTGTTGTTTATTTTTAGATCTGTACAGCTTACAGTTCTGAATGATTTAGTTTACGAAGTAATTTCGTTTCCAAAACTATATATATCTACCATTTAATCAGTCTAGTTGATTCTGACTGCTACTTTGATCAACTGTACAACAAATGGAGATCATTCATCACTTCTAAAATGAAACAGGAATTGATGACATTATGAACTGATCAATGTTGGACCGCCATTGAAAACTTGCAAATCTTGAATGGCCGTTTCGTTTTAGTATGCAACTCATCAGTAACAGGGGTGAAACAATCGTCCAGTGCTCCCAAGTGTCCCATATTGCCCCAACATTGATCAGTGCATAATTTCAATCAAACTCAACAATCTGTAAACGAATTTATGATTTGCTTCACCTTGGTCTAAAACCACTAATTTCGAAATGCACCAAAACTAAGTGATTTCCATTAAGTAATCATTAAGCTACTTAAATGATCTCAACTGTTTATCGAAGGTTATCATCATAAGTCTAATGTTCAGCAAATAATGTTACTTAAAAGCTCCGATATCAATTAATTAATGCAAGGGAATGTTTATTCAAGTACTCAGTATGAATATTTTGTTTCATATTTTATCTACTGAACATCATTCAATTAGATAAACAATATACGTCATGATTAGTGTTCATGCTTATCATAAATGCTGATAGATTTCTTACTGTGATGATAAGATAGATAAAAAACATGGAACACACTTATGTGGGGTAGTGTGTGTAATGTAAAATAAATGCTTTACTCTAAATGAATTGTCTGTCATATGATGCTGTCAGGCATGAATGATTAGAGTTCACTACAAAACTTCAATAAAAGCATGAATATTTCATAGATTTTCCCATTGACAGATTTAAAATAGAATAAGGACAATTAAACATTGCTAAAGAGGTAAGAATTTTATTTTATTTTTTTATTTCATAGTTTAGCATTGGTTGCATACAACATACAACTAAAATAGTATTAGTCATTCAGAATCAGTGAACATATTTTATATCATAAGATTTGTAACATTCCTGTCAATTAGGATTAATAAAACAGGGATAGATAGATAGATAGATAGATAGATAGATAGATAGATAGATAGATAGATAGATAGATAGATAGATAGATAGATAGATAGATAGATAGATAGATAGATAGATAGATAGATAGATAGATAGATAGATAGATAGATAGATAGATAGATAGATAGATAGATAGATAGATAGATAGATAGATAGATAGATAGATAGATAGATAGATAGATAGATAGATAGATAGATAGATAGATAGATAGATAGATAGATAGATAGATAGATAGATAGATAGATAGATAGATAGATAGATAGATAGATAGATAGATAGATAGATAGATAGATAGATAGATAGATAGATAGATAGATAGATAGATAGATAGATAGATAGATAGATAGATAGATAGATAGATAGATAGATAGATAGATAGATAGATAGATAGATAGATAGATAGATAGATAGATAGATAGATAGATAGATAGATAGATAGATAGATAGATAGATAGATAGATAGATAGATAGATAGATAGATAGATAGATAGATAGATAGATAGATAGATAGATAGATAGATAGATAGATAGATAGATAGATAGATAGATAGATAGATAGATAGATAGATAGATAGATAGATAGATAGATAGATAGATAGATAGATAGATAGATAGATAGATAGATAGATAGATAGATAGATAGATAGATAGATAGATAGATAGATAGATAGATAGATAGATAGATAGATAGATAGATAGATAGATAGATAGATAGATAGATAGATAGATAGATAGATAGATAGATAGATAGATAGATAGATAGATAGATAGATAGATAGATAGATAGATAGATAGATAGATAGATAGATAGATAGATAGATAGATAGATAGATAGATAGATAGATAGATAGATAGATAGATAGATAGATAGATAGATAGATAGATAGATAGATAGATAGATAGATAGATAGATAGATAGATAGATAGATAGATAAATAGATAAATAGATAGATAGATAGATAGATAGATAGATAGATAGATAGATAGATAGATAGATAGATAGATAGATAGATAGATAGATAGATAGATAGATAGATAGATAGATAGATAGATAGATAGATAGATAGATAGATAGATAGATAGATAGATAGATAGATAGATAGATAGATAGATAGATAGATAGATAGATAGATAGATAGATAGATAGATAGATAGATAGATAGATAGATAGATAGATAGATAGATAGATAGATAGATAGATAGATAGATAGATAGATAGATAGATAGATAGATAGATAGATAGATAGATAGATAGATAGATAGATAGATAGATAGATAGATAGATAGATAGATAGATAGATAGATAGATAGATAGATAGATAGATAGATAGATAGATAGATAGATAGATAGATAGATAGATAGATAGATAGATAGATAGATAGATAGATAGATAGATAGATAGATAGATAGATAGATAGATAGATAGATAGATAGATAGATAGATAGATAGATAGATAGATAGATAGATAAATAGATAAATAGATAGATAGATAGATAGATAGATAAATAGATAAATAGATAAATAGATAGATAGATATGATAGAATGGTAGAAATATAAATGTATCTGCAAAAGAACATGAAAATTCTAGCCGAAACGATTGATAATTCAAGTCCAGTTGATTTTACAACAAGGACTAATTTACAAACTAGCTTTCAACAAGGCTGTCTGAATGGAAGACGACATCAAAAGAATGGTGAATGACAAAGCTAACCAGGAAAGTTAATTAATAAATTTACAAGAATCATAAAAGTTTTCTAATCGTAGAATGTGTATGTAATAAATAATACTGACATTCTACTGTTTTATTAATCCTTATCGATAACAACCTTCCTAATAGTATGCTGTAAATTATGTAGCCTGAAGTTGATGAGAAACCATGACATAGAATGAATTCATACTGTTCTGTAATGTTTGTTGTGCTTATTCTATTAACATAAGCGTGAATAATTAACAAGGTGTATATACTGGAAGTAAAACACTGTGAATAGGATTGTAAAAATGTACAGAAATAACAAAAAAAACTATGCATACTTTCAAATTGTTTTCTATTTAAAATGGAAATAAGTTGAGCATGAAATGAATGAGTAAACATGACAATTTTCCCAGTTGAATTTTTGCTTATAGCATATCAATAAGAATAAAAAAAAATATCATTTATGCACAAAAGTGAAGATCAGTGAGCAAATTAAGACTATTTAAATTTTTTTGCAGAGATAGATAGTCTATGATTAAACTTTACAAAACCCAGTAGAAGGTTTTAACTGCTGACTGCATTGCTTTACCTAAGTACACGTACAATATGGATAGGGAATTTCACTGTTCACTGACTATTTAAATATATAAAAGATGATCGTGCGGAAGATCTCTTAACAAGTGATCTTAGTATTTACATTTTGATCTGTGAGATTAGAATAGCGAAACATCTTGACCCTGAAAAATGTACACTCTCTGCAAATAGTACTTTCAACCGTTTATTTTGTTATACCCAGAATAAACTGTAGAGTATGCTTGTAACTGAGTACCAATTTTCCGGTTGATGAAGTATGAAACTTGAGTTCATAACAAATTAAATCACTTCTATTAAAGATATAGGTTTCACAAGTTTACAAAATTGAGAGTATCGCCATCGGCAAAACTGAATTTACTAGTATACATACAAAATGTCAGTAAATTTGCCAGTACTCAACAAAGTACCAATAAAAAATTAACTTCTCATGATATGTGTACAGTAAACTGTAAATACTTCTGAGCGAAATCGTTCTAAAACTAAGCTATAAAGTTATTCACGACATCGAAACATGAGGGGAAATATTTTACAAGTAGATAAGTCTCGCTAACAGTATAGTTAATCTCGTTTGATAGTAAATAAATATAACAGGGAACACTTCGCGAGGAAGGAAAGTAAGAAATTTAGGAAAAAAACGTTAATCAAGCAGATCTTTAAAGGAGATGACATCTTGAAGGTACTGATCATAGACTGAAAATAGCATCAAATATAATGATTCCTTAAGAACCGGTATTTCCGTGTAAGCTGAATGACCTTCTGTAAAGTAAGCAAGGCATACATAAATAGACACGTATCACATTCAGTGACACTTAACTCTGTATTCAAGCAACTTATGGGTTGATTTCTAGTTGTTTCGGTAATTATCAATAATAAGATAGTACTTCTTTTTTCCTAATCAAATCATGGTTAAAATTCCTTTAGTCTTAACCATTTCATATCATATCGTACTGCAAAAATGACTCTTAAAGCTTCAAAATTGTAATTTTGCCTTGCAAATACTTTCAACCTTTGTTAATGACAACTTGGTGCTTAAGAATCCCAAGTTTATCATCACTTTGAACTGAATCAGCTTAGTAGTCTCTATGTAAATGAGTAAACAGCCACGATATACAATAAATCGATCATATTTTAAAGATTTTTCATTACAACTTAGATCACTGTAATCCAGAAAATAAAACATTTTCACTCCAAAAATGTGCATTCCAGAAATTTTCTTTATCAACATACTGTTACTTTTGATGTGAAGTGATTCCCATTCAATGGCATCGTGGATGACTGTCTCAATCCAGTCTAAGGACGCAGTTTCTGAAATGTAATTGAAAATTCCTTCCCACTGTAGTAGTTCCGCTGCATCACAAGAGATGTGTCTACACATTTTTATTACTGGATAATAAATGTCTAACTATGTGAGTAGTTCACTCCAGTCCAAAATACTGACCTTTAGACCTTTACCCATTGATTATACTTTATCTCATGTGATGAAACCGATCCTGCATGAGCTCGAGTGTACTTTCGATGGTTATTTCTTACAAATAGTTATTGAGATCTTAGTTTTTAGTGATTTCCTAGACGACGATAAATATGAATGATATGTATCTCAATACAATCTTCTCGTTGGAGGTCACTTGACATTCACTAAATGAGATAATAATCATAGATATCTTCGTTTTCATGTCAAGGAAATTTAAATTTTGGAAGTATATTTTATACATCATTTCGAAGTCTTTACTTTTTACTTTGACAGTCCACTTAAAAACCCGCTTGAGTTTCTCAAATCATCATCCTATCAGTCATTACCGAAAATTATTAACGACTCAGCATATACATCTGTCATGTGGAAAAGTCTAGTGAAACTATTGAACCAGTTGATCAGTGAAGAACGTTTATTTTGGCATGAAAAATTACTGAACAGAAATAAATTTAACAATTTAGAGGTCGATACAATTGATGTTAAATCTTTGCTCAGTGATATTGATCGTTTTTATTCAGAAGAATTCCGCCTGTTATGGAAACAAATATATGAAAGTTGGGTTCCGCGTGATTATCTGCAATACTTTTCAGATGAAACGAGGTATTAAATCAAATGTTTTATCATTAGTACATAATATTTCATTGTTAGAATAGCATATATAAGCAAACAACATTGTTTTCGTCTGTTTATCCACGTTTGACCTACTACTACTTCTATTTGTTGAACTATTGACAGAATACTTTGTTATCGTATCTGATTATTCTTACTACTAATAGTACACCTGCCTTCCGACTATCAACTTGTACTTTTACCTATTATGTGTGGTAACGTAATCTATTTCAAAGTGATTATTGACTCTCCTAACTTGTCTTGATTCGTTTCACATTTCCCTATGGTCATTCATCTAGATTTGAGTAAAGTCTGATTACAATCTATTTGAAAACAATATTGTTCACTCACAAGTGTTGTTTCTAATTTTCACAATGGGAATCTTTAATATTTCATTATTAATTTTAGAATTTCTATCATTATTTTCATGTTACTACAATTTAGATAACTAATACTTAATCTACAACTTTTTAACATCACATATAAATACCATTATTAGGAGAACAATTGTAGACGAACACTTTGACGCAGTCATTTTGAACACTGCGGTAACAAGATTTACGATAAATTTTTGACATATACTCATAGATACGTTTTGAACGTCAAATATTGAATGATATCTATGGGTAACGTATGCTTTAAATACAAGAGAAATTCTCAAAGTTTAGTAGTCAGTATTGGATTCTTAAATGTTGGTGTTCTTTACTTCAAACAAACTGAGGTATTTTGAAATCATATTGTCAAAGTGTTATTTAGAAAGACATATTTATTGAATGACATTTTTCTCTTACGAAATCTAAACAAGATCTTGTCTTTGGATGGTAATTCCTGTACACATAGTTATTCATTGTAATGTCAATTGTTAAGGGAGAAAGTAACACTAGTAGAGTAGGCCGAACCGAGATACAATATTTATTTTATTCTGCCAATAATACTTATTGCTGAAAAAATTTCATTTTTAGAAAAGTATTTATCAATTTGAATCTTGTTATTCAAAAATTGCTTCTATTCATTGAGAAAGGGAATTGTGATATATCATCGTTACATTCAGAGATCAGTTTCAATCACGAAGAAGATAATTTGGAAAATTTTGACGGTTTTAAAAGTTTTCCGAAGAAGTGTTTCACTAATCAACAACAACAACAACAACACAATAACAATTATCATTCCATGAATAATGATGAGCAGAGTCTTAGTAAGCGATTAGCTTTTTCATGTAGTTCATTAAATAAAATTCAAGATAATGGACGACTGTTTAATAGTCAACACTTGGAAACCAATGAAAACAGAATAAGTTTTAAACAAATGAGAGAATTATTAAAACTCAGGTTAGTTATTTTTTAATTTTATGTTATTGAAACATACTGGAAAAATAGTTACACCATTAAAGATGCACCCTTATTTGGTGTGAACGGTACTAATTAGATACACCCAAATTACCTAGTACTACCGAGCGTGCCTGCCCTCTCTTCAGGGAGGCTCCTTTATGACCACGCGACTAGATCCACCGACTTCTGGTGGTGAGTATGTTGTTTACAAAACTGAGAGAACGAAAAGCGATGCTCGACGCCTTAACCGGGTTGGTGTATACGGAGGATCCAACTGAGGTAGCTGGGAAACCTCCTGTGGTGCACAAGGACTCCACGATCCCGAGGAAACAAATGGCGTATGAATCCATTGTTTCTGGCTGACTAACGTGGGACTTCATCCCATTACGTTGTTCCACCGCCTCACAGACTAGACCTTCGCATCAGAGTCACGGAAAGTAGCCCTTTAAACAACTCCTTTCTTCGGTTTGGGCAACGTGGCAGTATCCCATCTCACACTTAAATTCAATAGTTTGCGTGGTGCATATATGTTTCGATGCTTTTTCGTACTAAGGTCTATGTGTCTATATAAAATGAAATGTGATAATTACTTTGGGGTCTTTCTCAGCAGTTTGAAAAAATTCATTTTAAAAACTGGTCACTGGTCACACAACAATAGTAAACTATCCGTGGCTGATCTACAAAATGTAGCACTCACGTAAACGCCCAACCATTTTGAAGAAAAAGAACTATTCGTAATTATTAGAATTGATAACGTTTCATCTAATTTTAACAGAGCTTATTTCTAAAAACATCGTTTGTCATGTTGATAAATGTGATTGAATACTCCCGTCTAAAAGCATAATGCTGATTGAATCGATTTAACAATATAGTAAAGTGATTGATATGACTAGACGTAATTTCTTCATGGAGCGGCCTCCTAAATCTTAATAGATTTCAGAAAATCACTAGTCAACTAACTGAATTTTTTATGAATAAATCAGATGATTCATGGAAATTGTTATAACCACGGGCTACTTGTCTGTTAACAAATGAATAATTTTAAATAAAAACAGTCACAAAAATAAACGATAATAATCCCATATCATCATGTCGCGTTCAATGTGCTCATTGTTTCTGAACTTTCGCAGTTTACTGAACTATTTTATATTGGATTTTTATAGTGTCAGTTAGGAATAATTACTTGTGTAATATTTTCCATGAAAATATACACTAGAATTTTTATTCAGATGTTAGTAAATAGAACAAAGATTTTTCCATTAGACATCTTAATAACGAAATCTTAGGATTTATGAATTTTCAGATAGAATGGATCTCTTAACTGTTTTGTAGGAAAGGCATGGATAACGGTTAATTAAAATCTGTTCAATTTCCTGATGTTTTAATGTGTTATAATTTTGAAATCAGTTAAGTTCTTGTTGATTTATGGTGAATATCCTGGCTTTACTTTGAAATGGTTCATAATATTTAACGACATAAAGTAATCTAAACTGACGAAATGACATTATGCTACTAATTCTTCAACTTGAATTAAAGTAGGCATTTATATGCATTGGATCTCTTCGGCTTTTATTTTTCACGTTTATATTATTGTTTTCAGCCATCAACAGCTTTTAGAACAAATTTATCATGTGACCGAGATGGTGGGTGCTGCACTGGACACAGACATGGAAGATGCAATCAACGGAGTACATATTTCTGCTGTTACCAATCATAAACACATCAATGATGATATTCAGACTAGTCACATTGGGAACAATAATAATTTCACACCAAGTGATCTGCTTACAAATCCATCAACTCCAGGTTTACAAGTTGTGGCTAAATTGCTCAGTGCTATACTTGATTTAGAAACACGTTTAGACACAATATGTGTAAATCAAATTATAGCAGAGAATATAACAAACTCTGACATCACATTCGATTCTGATCAATGTGCTGCAAATGATTTAAAACATACCTCTGGCTCATCTTCACCTGGACCCAATTCGTCGTCAGTGAAACAAGAATTTAATAGTTTTCAGATGGAAGATTTTCAAAATCCTCACTGCATGAATGTAAATGACAATAGGTCAGAAAATGAAAGATATAAAATAGAATGTTTAAGATCTTCTTCAGGGGATGATGATGAAGGAGACAATTTCACAAACGGAAAACCATGTGACTTAAATGATGAACTAGGGTATTTTGATGGAATGTGAACGAAACTTTTAAAGGTATTTACATGAGAGAATTCGCTGCCCTTAATCAATCTACACAGTCGCTTACACATTTATGCACACCGTCACAGAGTTTTGCTATCATAGGATTCATGGTACACAGCTTATTTGATCATGAGACACTATTGTTATAGAAAAATAAAACATTTTTTTTAAAATGAATTTATTTATTATTATTCAACAATAATTAAATAAATCCTTGAAATCATATTTGTTTTTGGATGAAAATGATTTCAATTAAAGTTATCTTGCCTTTTTTTTGTAAATTGTATTCATTTCACTTAAATTTCTCTTAAATTTGTCCGTTTGTTTAAATGATCCAGTTTATGATAGTTTCCAAAGAAAAAAAAAGTGACAATAATTTTTTCAAATAAAAAAACAAACAAACAAACAATAAATTGGATAGGAAAATAAATTAATTATATCGAACGCGATCTTTTTCCAAGGAATCAAATCTAGATAATTCTAATTCATCATTTCAATTATTTATTTATTTATTTTTTTTCTCCTATTTTTTTTAAAATTATGATTGAGAATTTCTGTTATTCATTTTCGATCCATTAAACTAAATTAATTTAGTTTATGATGGTAATTTATTCTATTGTATGCCGTATTCCATATAATACGGCCAGGATGGTAATAACATTAATAATATTAATAATATTTTGATAAATGAGATATTTTTATAGGGCTATAAAGATCGTTTAAAAATCAAAATAATATTCACGAAATCAACCAGTTGAATCAAGTGAACTAAAAAATTGATCATGATTAAAAGGAAAAGTGAACATTGAGCACCAGTTGTAATTGTCAAGAAACGAGTAACTTTCCTACTGTTTTATTGATGACTAGCTCAATACCGGAAAACGAGAAATATTCACAATAATAATAATAATGCCGGCCCAGTGGTCCTATGGTTAGTACCGCGGTCCCAGATTCGAATCCTGTGAGGTGCAGGAGTCATGGATGAGCACTGTTGATGAGTCCCATACCAGGACGAAACGGCCGTCCAGTGCTTCCAGGTTTCTAATGGTGGTCCAACAATGATTGATTGATGATTTCAAATGTGTAAAAACACAAACCTCCAAAACTCTGCCAGAAAATAATAATAATATTGAAAAATCTTACTGACTACTGAATGTATTCTGGCGACTGTTGCAATGTTGACTGATTCGAAAAATCACTGAATCACAGACACAGATGTTATAGGAGAAAAACATTTTACCAAATATTATTGTCAACTTCCTCATATCTAAACATTTCTTGGTAATTGTCGGTTCAGTGCAACACTTTTAACACGTATACAGAATGATATATTTTTAAAAACTAATACAAATACTCAGTGAAGATATTGTGGCCATTTGAGAACGTTTGTTGAAAACTACAGATCAAATTGTGCATACTGGATCAACCAAATTCTGGTCCAATTCTTTCGATTACCACGAATCATGTAGCGTGTTTTGCAAAACTTCAATGTTTCAAAATACTTGTCTTGATGATTAAAAGTAACTTTTGATGGGAATCTGTTAGTTTTCTTACACCTGATGCCAACAATCAAAATAGAAGCACTTTAAACCTTAGCAAACTATTTTCAGTGACATTGTAATTAAAGAAAAACAAATCTAAATGGGTGAACCAAAGATAATAATCATAATAATACATTCTTAATTGTGTAAGGAAAATAGTCCCGATATATTCACTTGAATAAAAAGTAACTATCAAATTAGGTTTAAAATATTTATCAGATAAAATTAATGCCAAGCAGAGAGTTATAGTTGTTCAATCAAAGATTCCTCTCCTTTAAGTTGAGCGATGGAAACTATACTAGATCTAATCATTAACTGAGTAGCTAGTTAATGTCTAGAAATTGTTTATTCAAAGGCTGAAAATTCGTTCATACTCAAACATCCGGCTAAAGATTTCTGCATAATTCAGTTACTCTTGTATAACGCGAAGAAAGCCCTGCAATCACTGCATGTTGAAAGACAACTTGCAAAATCCTAATTGCCTTTTCCGTAAATAGAAAAAAAACAGGAACCTGTAATTATAATTGAATTTCGGCAATGTTTCTTGCCAAGATGCCAAGAATAAGCTTTAGATCATTTGGAACAATTTATTTTCAATTACTATCAAAACACTATGTAGGAGAGCGGTATGTTGGCTTCCAAATTGTAGTGGTTACTATTCAAGCTAAAAGTGAGTAATTTACTCAATTAGCATTTTAGCTGTCGGTATGTCAGTTAAGAAGAGTGAACTGTTTGTGAATGCTGTGAATTTCTGCAGTGTTTCTTTTGACAATGATTTAATCTGGTAATAGCGGGCTTAAAAAGGTAATTACAACATAACACTAGGTAATTAGTGTACCTCACGGTAATCACTAAAACGAATTCTAGAGTTGGTAAGTTTTTTTTTATTCGGACTGTTCCGATTTCATCTATGTCTGTTGTATTGAAGAAATGTATTGTATGTTGAAGCGGCACAATTTACAAGTATATGAAATAATGAAATGTAATAGACAATTACCAGTAAACAGTAATTTGTTTATTTATGCACCTTGCTTGATGGTGAATTGTATCTTCCTGCTACTCACCATAGTATTCAGCCACAAAGAAACTGTTCTCTTAAAATTAGTTATACCTTGTTTTGTGTACTTATTCGATAAGGTGTTACTGATAGAATGTTTGAAAATTATTAGTAAAGCCTAACACTTGTTGTTATTGAGTTGCTGGGCTGTGGTAAATTATCCTTGCATAAAGTACTCTGATAACCTGAATTTGTTTTTATGTTCTTTTTTTTGTAATTTATGATTGAACTTGGCTTTCTATGCACATGCAATAATCATATGATAAGTTATAATATTTCTCATGTTGCTTCACTCAACCGTCATCATTGTCATAAATCACTTTATAATAAAAGTAAATATTGAAAGTTTAGTATTAAATGTCTTTTTTTTAAAAAAAAATACAACAAAAGCAAGCCTTAAACTTGAACATTACCTGCTTAGTGTATGTGAATAATGTTTCTGATAAAAAATAGTATTCAGTCACATTTCACTTAGAAGTATATAATAAATGAAATAACTAAGTGGGTTAATGGAGTAGATTCTTAATCGGGTTGACTATTTTTTTAAAAATATATATGTATATATATATATATATATATATATATATATATGAACATTTTCTCATTAAACAGATAAAAAAATACGATTTGAACTGAAAGTCTTTATTTAAAAAAGATATTGAAGTAGGAAAAGTATAGTATCGTAACAGCGCTCACTAGTGACTAGCTTTGTGAGGAAATTCTCGGAGTTCTAGTTGAGAAGACGTGACTAATGGAGTTCAAGCCTGTCAGGTGTAGGCAGTAACTACCAAAGACAAATGGGTGAGGTAGCGCAAAAAAATCCGTAGATCAATCAGAGTTAGACATTAACACAGTTGGATGCCGGCCCAGTGGTCCAATGGTTAGACGTTCGCTCACAGTACCGAAGGTCCCGGTTTCGAATCCTGCGAGTTGGAGGAGTCGTAGATGCGCCCTGCTGATGAGTACCATACCAGGACGAAACGGCCATCTTGCAGTGCTTCCAGGTTTCTAATGGTGGTCTGACAATGACTGATTGATGATTTCAAATGTGTAAAAACGCAAAACCTCCAAAAATCTGCCCGGAAAAAAGTATAGTTCTGTTTAGGCACATTTTCATTTGTTCCGTTAAATTAGATGAATATGAACATTGTGAAACTTTAGTAAGTTTTATGATGACATAAGCAATTACAAAAAAGCTTCCAACAAAAAATTCCATCCACTTCTCATTGATGTAAACACACAACTTGTACGGGATTGAATTTTATTTTATTTCTTTTTGCCCAATTTTTTTTGCGATTATTATTTAACTTATTAATCCATGAAATGTGATACAGAAACAATCATGTTCAAATCATTCATGTGAAATAAATCTATCGTATTTTTGTTTCATATGAGAAGCTTGTTATTTGCAATAGGGCAACATAGTTTTGATTATTAGATCGTGTTTAACTTCAACATTTGCATCGCTTGTAATGGACACTCATTTATTGACATGCTGTGATGGTGTTGCAGTTCATATTGGAAAATGTCTAACTAAGCTTGTATTCTAACTGCAGTTCAAGCATAAGCGGTTTGTCTCATTTTTTTAGATAGACCTTAAACCATTTCTTGGCTACCTATATCGTTCCCAACATCAGACTATTCATACAACCTCTAGTAAAATACGGAATAAGCAGATAATATATTTACTTATACTCAAAATAATATTTTACATTAACACAGTGATAATAATTGTTTATAATCATTAAATGAACGGATTTCGATTTGATATACATTCCACAAATCATTGCTACACTCATACATGGTTTTCTGTAACTTAAGGAAAACGACACACGTGGTTTTCTGAGTACAACAGTTTTCACTAACAAATGAAATATGGCTTCTTTATATTAGATAAATTTCAATGCGGATTTATCCCTGGTAGACTTACCATCTCTTTTTGAATCCATTATTCTTTATGATGTGTGTCAACACTAAAACATCAAAAAACTTATTCAATGTCTTCTTTAGACTTACACTGTGTTGTGGTTTTCCTAATGGCATTATCTCATTCAAAAGCAACGCAGTGGATTTTTCTAAAAAACATTGAATTGGTCATGATTTGGATTTCTTTTTTCTAGAGCAAAATCGTGCAATCAAATTTAGAATTAGAGGTTGCTACAAAATGAGCTTTATTGTTGATAAATTAGTATTTTTTTGGGCAACAGCAACCTACTATTGGATAATATTGCCCATACGTATGCTGACTAAGCTACGAAATACAATTCAGTTTAATCATCGACTAAACCAAATAGATTAACTCCACATTTTGAATAATCTTCTGATCTCAGATAATGTTCTATGTAAACTATGACACAACAAAGTGATTTGATGTGGTTTGTATTACGTCACGATGTTCA